GTTCCCTCTCTCACTGTGTCTCTCTCTGTCAAATAAATAAAATCTTTAAAAAACAGTTTTTTTAAAAAGGGAGGTGTAAGAGAGGCTAAAAATAAGAAATTTTTTTCTTAAGAAATCTATAGCAGGAGAGGAAAGACCAAAAGTGGAGTTCTAAATTAACTGTACTTTAGTGACATTGAAAACAAAATGGGTACTGATTATATGTTGAAACCAGAGCCTTGTCCACTTATCCCTCTTGAAAAATCCTCACACACAAGGAGGAATTTGCCTTCTGTAGGGTGCCTGCCTGCCTCAGTAGTAGAGCATATGACTCTTGATCTTGGGGTTGTGAGTTCTAGCCCCATGTTGGGTGTAGAGATTTCTTACTTACTTATATACATACATATATAAATTTAAAAAAACAGATTTTCCTTCCGTAATTTAAACAATAGAAACCAAGTTTAAAAAAAAAGAAGGAGCGCCTGGGTGGCTCACTTGGTTAAGCGTCTGCCTTTGGCTTAGGTCATGATCCCGGAGTCCCGAGATGGAGCTCAGCTTCTCCCTCTGCCCCTCACCCAGTTCGTTCTCTCTCTCTCTTTCAAATAAATAAATAAAACCTTAAAAAAAAAAAAAAAGCCCAGCAACCAAACATCCATTTTACACTTATATCTTGGGCTGGTGTTGCTTTTCAGTCATTTTTGGGAAAGAGGCAATTAGCTACACAAGTTATTTGCTTTGTTTTTTGTTGTTGTTGTTGTCGTCCAAGGTTTATTGATGATATTACAGCAGAAAGATTCAAATGGCTCCACGAGGTGTTTTGAAATTCATCCCAACTCTAGGCTGAGTGACCTGCAGTTTGGGCAAACTGCCAAAGTCCAAGACCTTCAACATTTCCTTAGGGTCAGGATCCACTTCCATGATCTCCTGCCCCCAGGCTGAGACCTCAGGAATGGAATTCTCCCTCCTTTCTCTCCTCCTCCTGCAGCTTGGTGGAAACCCCTCTCACTGGGCCTCTCTGAATCCGCTCCATCTGACGTGTGACAAGCTGTTCTCTTGTTGCAGAGTTTCTTGGCGGGAATAATGGCGTCTCCTCGCACACAGGCTTGTTGGTGTGGAAGAGGTTGCCCAGGCGCGTGTAGTACTTCTTTTTTTTTTTTAAAGATTTTATTTATTTATTTGACAGAGAGAGACACAGCGAGAGAGGGAACACAAGCAGGGGCGTGGGAGAGGGAGAAGCAGGCTTCCTGCCAAGCAGAGAGCCCGATGTGGGGCTCAATCCCAGGACCCTGGGATTATGACCTGAGCCGAAGGCAGACGCTTAACGACTGAGCCACCCAGGCGCCCCACTAAGCCCTATTCTTAAAGAGTTCTATGTATCTGCAAAATGTCTTAAACTTAGTGAAAAAGACAAATTAAAAAAAATCCTTATTTTCAACTCAAAACAAAGCTAGAAAGCAAAAATAAAACCAAAATCTTCAGGATACCTGGGTGGCTCAGTTGGTTAAACGACTGCCTTCAGCTCAGGTCATGATCCTGGAGTCCCAGGATTGAGTCCTCCCCACTGAGCAGGGAGCCTGCTTCTCCCTCTCCCACTCCCCCTGCTTGTGCTCTCTCTCTCTCTGACAAATAAATAAATAAATAAATTAATTAATTAATTAATAAAATCTTTTTAAAAAATCTTCAAAATTCTTAAATCATCTCCATTTGAGAAATATTTTTAAGAGGTCAGAAAGACAAGACCTAGTATCAGTTAATCACCAGCTTTTCTCCAGCTTTATAAGCTAATGCTTCTACTCTTCTTTTTTTTTTTTTAAGTAAGCTCTACATACAGCGTGGGGCTTGAACTCACAACCCTGAGATCAGGAGTCACATGCTCTACTGACTAAGCCAGCCAGGTGCTCCTACTCTCCTAGTCTCAAAATTCAACCTTTCAATCTCTAGATACAATATGACAGTCTCCCTCCTGCTTCCTCTCTTCCATCAGCATTTATGGAGCTCCTAATATGTGTAATTCCTTTCCCTGCCTTCGAAGAGTTTAAGAATTAAACAGTCATCCCTCATCCGAGGCATAACCCTGCTCCAGGGCCTTGGCACCTGCTGTCCCCTTTTGCCTCAGAGTTCATCTATCTACATGGTTTGTTCCCTCATTGACTTTAGATTTCTGTTCAGATGTCACCTCCTTAGTGAAACTTTCCTTGAATATTCTACTTAAAATTACATTTTTAAAAAAGATTTTATTTATTTATTTGACAGAGAGAGGCACAGTGAGAGAGGGAACACAAGCAGGGGGGGTGGGAGAGGGAGAAGCAGGCTTCTAGCGGAGCAGGGAGCTTGACGCGGGGCACGATCCTAGGACCCATGGATCATGACCTGAGCCGAAGGCAGATGCTTAACCGACTGAGCCACCCAGGTGCCCCTAAAATTACATTTTCACCTTTGGTTCTTGCCCTTGCTATTCTATTGTCTGCCCTGTTTTTCTCCATGGCACGTGTAAGTATCTGGCATAGTCTATATTTCAGTCTCTTATCATCTATCTATCTATCTATCATCTATCAATATATTTATTTAATTTTTTTTCTGTTTCACCCAACTAGAATGTAAGTTCTGGGAGCAGAGATTTTGTATCACTGCTTCCTAAAATGGAATGTGGTACTTACTGGCTGGATAATGTTGAGTGAATTGTTAATGAGCTCCAGGTAGTAGTTGACTGGCTCTCAGTCACATAACTCGGTGGAGTCAAAGCCAAATTTCAGCCATCTTCCTCTGGCTCTTAACCACAGACGTAGCCTGCTTCTGTTGTCACACATACATAATTCATAGGTGTGTGAGTGTTAGGGCCGTTTTATGATCTGTATGCTCTGGATCTACTGCTTGCAGGAAGGGTGAAGCCATGCGTAGGTTCGGATACCTATCTTGCCCTTGACCTGGGGAAATCATGTTTTCATCAAACAGGAAACGAGGATATTGGGAATACCTACCTGGGTAGGTTGCAGTGTTGGAACAGGTTTTGTTTTGTTTTGGTTTTGGTTTTTGGTTTAGAGCGGTCAGTGTATTCAAGTGGCCAGATTCCACGGGACTGGGGAAGGAAAATGGTACCATCACAGGTAGGCCATGGGCTGAGGAGCTAAAAGCTGGGTGGGGCACCTATGATATGGCAGCTCTTGAGGTTGATGGTAAGAGCCTTTTTAGGAAAGTAGATGAAAGGGAGCAAGCTACAGGAAGGTCAGAATTTGCCTAAACACTTGGAATTTTTCTTATGCACCTTAGGTCCTCATTTGGCTAGTTCTCTTCTGTTTATGTACCTTAAAAATATTTTCCTTATTTCAAAATAATAATAATATAATAGTTACAGAGAACTTCCATATACTCTTTACCTAAATTTGTCGATTTTTCACACTTTGACAAATTTTCTTTATCATTCTTTTATATATGTACTATAACATGTTTTTTTCTGAACCGTTTGAGAGTTGGTTTCATACAATATGCCCCTTTATCTCTCATACTCTCGTGCATATTTCCTAAGAAGAAGAATATTTTTTTTTAAAGATTTTATTTATTTATTTGAGAGAGAGAGAACACATGAGAGGGGATAGGGTCAGAGGACGAAGCAGACTCCCCGCCGAGCAGGGAGCCCCATGCGGGACTCGATCCCGGGACTCCAGGATCATGACCTGAGCCGAAGGCAGTCGCTCAACCAACTGAGCCACCCAGGCACCCAAGAAGAATATTTTTTTTAATTTAAATTCAATTAGCCAACATAAGAAGAATGTTATCTTAAATATAACCATGGCACAATTATCAAATTCAGGAAGTTTAAAATTGACACTATACTTTAAAGTCCGTTATTCCAAAATTGTCAATTTTCCCAATAGTGCCCATTATGGCATTTTCCCTCTCATACGAGATCCCAGGCCAGGATCATGTATCACATTTTGTTGTCATATTTCTGTTTCCTTAAACTAAAGTAAACTAAACTTAACTGAAATAGTTCTTCAGCCTTCTTTGTCATTAAGGACATTAACATTTTTAAAGAATACAGGCCAGTCATTCTATAGAATGTTCATCTATTTGTTTTTCCTGATGTTTCCTCTTGACTGGATTCAGGTTCTGCATTCTGAGCTGGAATATGATGTAAATCATGTGTGTTCTTTTCAGGGAAGTCAACCCCAAGGTCCACAATGTCCATCTGCTTCTTATTGGTGATGTAATTTGATCAAGGTCAAAATTGATCAAGGGGTTGTCTGGTTTCCCCACAGTATA